AATGTATGCAAATGATTAAAACAAATATCAAAGATTCCCTAGGCTTGATATGAGGTTAATCTGTTTACATTTATATTTGATAGCCATACCCAAACGACCAGACAATTAAAAAGTGTTAATCGCTGGTTTTGTTTACGAAGTCTAATTGTCATTATGTATCTCTTATTAACAATTGACGGGTTGAGACGGGAGTTTTCGTAGATTTGCTGTAGGCTTTTCGGAAAGTGTCAGGTAAACTGCATCCGAGACTTTTGCTTGAAGATAAATGTATTTCGCAAATGTTACACCCTACCCTTCGGAAATCAAGGATAGATTATTCACGAAAGTTCTTGGAACCCGAAGACGCGAAGACCCGATGGAACGCAGTAAGCCAATAAAACTCACTTACGTATACGCACCGCTCGTGTTTGTGTTTATGTGTGGGAGTCTCTTCTTTTCCCCTTAATCGTTCTTCTCTCATGAAAAACGATTTCTGTCTTTTAATGTATAACGTGAGAAACATTAACAAGAAACGCTGTGATTCACCTACAATTGTATCATCACTACCAAATATTGATATAAAGTTTCATCATAAGGAGCATTTTCTTTTATACATTGGAAAGTGGTATCATTGACAGGCGCGGATCCAGGATTTTCAAATGGGGGGGGGGGGGGGGGGGGGGCGGAAATGTGAAAATTGCGCATACCGTTTTTACAACTCAACATACCAATACTGACAAGGTCATATTAGAAGCACCATACCGGTACAATTTTTGACATTTTCATTGGGGGGGGGGGGGGGGGGGGGCTATGGCCTCTTGCCCGAAAAAGTCATTTTCTGGTTTCACAATTCGGCTAGTGAGCGAGCAAAAAATTGAGCATAATATGTATTTTATGAAAGAGAAAAGATATCAAAAATTCACATTCGGGCAGCTCGCTGTCCCCCCCCCCCCCCCCCATTACGCGCGAAGCGCAGAAGCTTTGACGTTTCATGAAATTATTAGAGAAAGAAGACGATTCTTCGTACCATTCTCGACTCTTAATCCTTGTTTGAATTCAGTTGCCCCCCCCCCCCCTCCCGAGCAAAGCGCGGAAGCTTTCACATTTCATTAAATTATTAGAGAAGGAAGACGATTCGTTGTAGCGTTCTCGACTTGTCAGAATTTTCAAAAATGTTTCCTTGTCTGCTCCTTTTTCGTCCTATGTCCTCTTACTGCCCCTACCGCCCTGGCTAAACGCCTGATTTAAAGTGAAAATGAAACAATCATGATTGCGATAGCACACAATTAGGTAAGTAAAAAATGAAAGGAAAAAAAGGATCTATTAAATATTTTTGTGTTATTGGGCGAGGGCCGGGGCGTAGCGACCAAGCGAGATTTTGCAATGTTGAATGCTTAAATTATGCATTATAGAAAACCCCTAAGCCCAATATGTACGTTCTTTCCGCTATATTTCTAAATTTCCTGGGGGACGTGTCCCCCTATCGGGCCCAGGATTGCCGCACCTGTCCATGATTACTACCAACATGAGTTCAAATACAAGCACAAGCGAGTTGGTATGACTATGAGCTGAATCTAAATGAAGGGCAAAATAAGAGTTGTGAATAGCTTCTATTTAAAAGGCATCCAAAATATTGTGCCCTTTTCAAATTTCTCAATAAAGAGTGATGACCTTTGTAGCGCAGGGGCTGTTTTTAACGTTTAACTTTGAATCCGCGGCTCGAGATTTTATGCGGCCGGCCTAGCCCCCTCTATTCAATGACGTTTGCCAAGCCTTCTGGAATGACCCCGAATCTCCCGATTACAGTTTTTCCCTTATTCTTCGTTACTGTCACTTGGCGCAATTTTGTTGTCTTTCCCCCTTTCTCACCCGACTTTTCTCTGCCCCCCCCCCCTCCCCACCCACTCAGTGTTTCTATGGTACGCGCATTTATGTTCCCTCTCTTTGAAAGCACCCCCTATCTCCGGTGTGTAAAGTCAGTACGGGCCGGACTTTGTTCCGTGAAAAGTAACCCTTTCCCGGAGATTTTGGGAACACAAATTCGGTCCCTCCGACCCCGGAGTGGGAGGGAGGGGGGGGGGGGGCTTTCCTTTCTTCGTTTTCTTTTCTCTTCTCCTTTTTTTTTTCTTCTCTTCTCCTTTTTTTCCCCTCTTCTTTTCTTCCTCTTTTTTTTTCTTCCTTCTTTTTGCGCCGCCAATAGGGGGGGGGGGGGGGGGGGGCCGCGGCCGTTTCGGCCCCCTGGATCCACCACTGCATTGAGCATCTCCTGAAACGACATTACTGGTCAAGGATTAGAGCAGAAAATCGCAAATATTAAACATCAATGGACACATTTCTTAGTACAGAGGGTGATATTATTCATAATTGAGATATAACATGTACAATCTAATATAAGGATTTTCATAACAAATATACGAGTGTTTTAACAAAAAATGTGAAGTATAAAATCAACGCAGTTTGAATAATTGATTTTACACTAGTTCTGCCTTATATACAGAAGTATTACAACTAACCATCATTTACCAGTTAAATCAATTTTGTAATATAATTAGTCCTGTTTAAACTGATTCTTACTAGTTTTTATTACTTTGAATAATTGTCCTTAATTCAATTCAACTACAAAAATATAAATGTTTATTCAAATACTACTGATAGTCACAGACTAAATTATACATATTTTGTACAGAGGATGTAGGAGACAATACTAACACAAATTGCAATGGTAATGAAGAAAAAAAGGATGTAAAAGGCACAAAAATAAGTAACATTTTTTCAAAAAATTGAAATAGTTGGAATTCTGAAAAGAGCAGAGTAGGCCTACGGTAAAATCGAAAAATGGGACCATTACTTATTATAGAAGAATTCTGATTAGGAAATCTTTGAATGGACACGCACAAACCCATCACTTTTTTTGTTCAAGTAATTTGTTCTATTCCTCAAAATGTAATACAAACAAGTACAACAAACAATTAAATGAAAACAATAAACGTTTTCAATATGACTTGCTTAGAAATAATCATAATTAAACAAAAACTCGTTTGCAGTATATATATATAACTGAGCAACAAAGTAAACTTAAAGTACATAATCTATAAGTCACCCACCCAATATTTTTTTCTTCAATATTTTCTTTTTATTGATTCCAAACAATACAAATTAATTTTAGAAATAAAATACATTTGTTTTTCCTTGACATGAATTCAAAACATTTTCATCACATAAATTGTACAATTGATGAAAACAAAACTGAAATCAGTTGTAACATAAAACAAAAAACCCCATCCAACCAAGCACACTACTAACCCGTGACCTTAATATCTATTTTATGGTCAATCAAATTTCTTCTGCATGCTCCGGTGGTTCGTTATTTAAAGGGGTCCAATGTATCAAGCTTTTATAAGACCTTGGGGGTGTTTCACAAAGATCCTAAGTTGAACTTATCTCTAAGTTGGACTTAAAAATTATGGAGAGCCATTTGTAGCCTAAAATGAAATATATTAAAAAGTAAAAATTCAAGTAATTTAGACTTTTCATAAATTCTATATCAAGAAGATGAAATCTCCCATGATCATAGAAAATATGAATGTTTTGAATCAACATTTTATGCCTTTAAAAAAACTTTTACAAAATATTTTCAAAGATGCTAATGGCTTTCCATAATTTTTAAGTCCATCTTAGAGATAAGTCCAACTTAGGATCTTTGTGAAACACCCCCCTTGTACCATTTATCACGCAGAAGATGCGTATTAGGGCATACTGTATTTGTATTGAACCGCACACGCAAATTCAGAGATTTACTAACCTCAAAAATAAAATAAATGCAAGAAAGGATACAAATTGGTAACTCCCAAAGATATTAACAGTTAATGTTCATGAACAAATCCCAAGTATCCCAAGTAAACCTTGTCCATTTTATCATCATCATCATCATCATCATCATGATAAGCAGCAACGTATCATTATCATCAATTTCTTTTACAGTATCAGTGTCATTTGCGGAAAACAACGGGAGGTTACAATCGACATGACTATATAAATTGTTTACTGTTACACAACATCATTATAATAAAGCATAAAATTAAACATATGATACTTTTATAACAAATGTACTGATTGGTATTTTATTCATGAGTAATTTACAATTGCAAACTGGGAGTGTTTACTTGTATTATAATTATTTATATAGTGTAGTTTTTTACCATTTTGTAAAAAAATATTGTACAATTCCGTCCCTGGACTGCGACGCATATTTCTTGAATAAATAAACCATTATTATTATTATTATCATCATTATAAATTGGAACACAATGAAAGAAGACTGGGTAGATATCAATATCATGATAATAACTACAACATAATTTATAGCACGTAATGCAAAAGTTTCGGAGTCCTCACTACAACATTTTTCAATGAGAAATCAAAGAAAATTTGCAACGTTTTCAATCATACAAATGATTTATTACTGTATATGGACCAGAACAAAGGATGGTACAGACACACACAAACTAATTTAAGCTTATTCAACCTTGATTTTACATTTAAAGCCCCACTGTCCTACTTGTAGCTACTTGCTCCCTCTATATAGAAAACTTCCCCAATCGGTGCCTGTTGGTCCCCCATGATCCTCTTTTTCTTATGTTAGTTGAGAGCTGAGTTAATGAGATAGCCACCTGTCAGTGACCTCGCTGTGTGGTCTAATCCCTTCTGGCCCAGTAGTATTGACGGTCTTTAAAACAATCGCAAAGACTCAGGGGCAAATTCAACACCCTTCCGTATATTCCACACGTTATTGCCATGTTCGCATATTTCCGAAAGACGAACTACCAAGGCCACATAATCATGCTTGATGACGAGATGGTATTTTTAATTCTTAATTCATTCAATTCTGACACGAAAATATCATTCCAGGTTTGGAGGTATTATTTTACCATGTTTCATGTTTTAGCGCTTAGAGACATATTTTGTGATAAGTGCTATACAAATGTTGTTAATTATTATTATTATTATTATAATTATTCATACAATGATCATTTGTGGCAAAAATAGTCATTTGTGATTGGTTGACAAACGGAATGATACAAAAATGAAAAAAAAAAATTAACGAAAGTCTTTGAAATCGTGCTATCGTCTACTTTAGTCATTCTTTGATATAATAGATTTGATGTGAATACCACGTGATGAAGCCTTACTGAGGTACTCATCATTTTTACCATCTTGGTTGATATATCTCTCTAATTTCTTCCCTGACTGCATGTAGAGATGGAAATTGTGTTTCTTGGTGATGCTTTCGTAGCCCTCGGCAACATACCAGCGCTTCAATCCTATCTCATTTTCATCAAAATAGCCTAAGACTGTACGACATCCAAGAGCGTACATTCTCTGTAAAGGAAAGTCAAAGTGAAAATAAAGTAGTAATTTACCATTAAATACAGGGTATCGACTCGACATCGCTACCACAGCTACAATGTATTCTCAATTGCGCCATCTTATGTTGAAGGTGTACATAGAGAGATCTCCGGTTCCTGAACCATTATCAAGCGCTCGTCATCAATTGGTGATGCATTTTGGGACATGTCTGTCGATACATCGGAACACTAGGGCGTTTTAGTAACGAGACGGAAGGCAAAGAGAAGAGAGAATTCACTCAATCGAGATCAAATAATGTATGCAGTTCGGATTCTGTTTATTGAAATACTATTATTCTTATCAGGTGAATGAAATAATTTGTATTGAGGCACTTCACAAAGACTTATGCATTAAATTTGGTTACACTACGAAAATGGTCTGTACGGCGATACAACTCTTCGCTCGAGTTTAGGGAACAAACGCTATTATGGCTGAGAACGGTCGTGAAAATCAAGAAGACGGAGACAATTCTGGTTCGCACATGCGCAGATTGATTATTTTGCTCGGTTACCCTCGTCTCTGCCTTCCGTCATTAGGGACTTTTAGATTGAGTGGACGAGAACACGACGAACGACGACTGATCATGCGTGTCAACGTACTCAACTGCCTATGTTGACTACAATTAGAAATCTCTTAGATTGCACTCGACGATATACATGCACGCAGGAAGTAACACTATGAACATGAGGGGACAAAGAAAGATGACAAAATATACAGTTCCTCATTCTACCCTCAACAATAGACCATTTTCGTAATGTAACAAAATTTAATGCACAAGTCTTTGTGTAGTGCCTCAATACAAATTATTTCATTCACCTGATAAGAATAATAGCATTTCAATAGACAGAATCCGAACTGCATACATTATTAGATCTCGGTTGAGTGAATTCTCCCGTCCGGCTTTGCCTTCCGTCTCGTAACTAAAGAGCCCCATTGTGAGCAGCAGACGGCAGCTTACGTAAAGCAGAAGTAGTGTCGGCAGAATACCCTGCATTTTAAATACATACTCTCATGTTTTCTGGAGGTTAAACAAGGGAGTTTTCAATGTTAAAACCATATATTATTTAGTAAGCCAATTCAATTTGCGAATTTTACCAACTTATGACAAAGAGACAAATTATACCACAAGAGGAATCGCTCAGAAGAATTAAACGGATCAACAGAGGAGGGACAGGCCCACTTTCAAAGAATCCGGGACCATTAAAATACAAAGGAAGTCATAAAATATGTTGGAAACCAAAGTGAGGATAGAAAAGAAAATAGGTAATGCAGTTTTCTTTTGAATCTACAAAACATGAATTTATTTCAAATTAAAAGAAAGTACAGCTCTTAAACAAGTTCTTAAAAAGACCAACAATATTAGTTTTATGGGCTGGCGGTCTTTATTCTTGTCCCCAGCAGTAGAGTTTCACGTTTAATACTCACCTTCGTAACTTCGTGCAAAAGTATCGAACCGATCCCGAGATCTGAAGAGCAAGATGTACAAGGTAAAGAGGAGTTAGATTCAATACCAATAATGTTATTAGGGACTTTTAGATTTGCACGAAGACAACGTGGATTGCTACGGTCGACGTCCTTTCAATGCATTGCCTTGAATGGACGTCACACGTATCAGTCCACGCAAATCTAAAAATCACTATTATCTCAGACACACCGCCAAACCGACTCGAGACTGACCCCACACCATCCAATTTGGGGGTTATGTCGTTGTCTGTCTTTTTCGAGGTGTCGTGGTTCTGTTATTCATTGCCTTGTTTCTCAATATCTAAGGGTTGCGGGTTGAATCCCAGCCAGGCACTCATGTCATTTAGCAAGACATAAAGTTCAACAAAAGTTCAACAAAAGTGCTTATAAAAACACATTCACCATAATTCAGAACAAAGTTACTTGGTACCAAAAGTTCGACAAAACATTTGGAAATCATAGTGCTCATCATGCATGACCATGATATTTTCAAATAAGTAAATTTCGATAAATTTGTTCTCATCAAAAATATGTATTTACTTCAACACTCAGCGTACAAATAGGCTTGCGTACCATTTTCGTTGATACACACTGTGATTTACAAGAACTGTTCATTGCATAACATATTATATCACAGTATTACAATCAATGATTTACCTTCAATGATTTACCTTCTTAACGTCAAATGATAGAACCCTCTCAAAGCAGTTAGGTAAAATTTGAATTAATGTTGCGTTTATAATAAAAATGCATGTTTGTTAAGTAGAAACCCCGAATAAGGTACCCCCCCCCAAAAAAAAAGTGCCAATCCAAAAAATGAATATTCTTCTTTTACCGACTATTGGATGAGATTAACCTAACCTCTTTCAGGGTGTACCCATCGATAAATCAATCAATTTACCTCTGTATTGGGGGTGAATGAAAATGTTTTCCCATAATGCACTTCGTCCATCCCAAGCGCAGAAAATGAACGTGTAGAGTCCATAGCCAATGATTGACGTCTGACCACTCTCATCATGGGCTTCTGCTACGTCACATTGGTAAATTGGATTTGCCCCGAAGCCATCTCTGATTAAATCTGTACAAATAAAAGAATCGTTAGTTTCTGAACTCTGTCATTACCAATAATAGAAAAGTTTATGGACTTTGCTGAAGAAGAGCTAAAATAAACGTTATTTTCAGATTCTTCAAATAAAGTATGTCCCACATTAATTCCTGGTTATCTTCCACCTTCCACCTTAATGGCCCGAATTCACAAAGGAGGTTTGTCGACAAACCTTGGTTTTTGTACGTCATATGACGCGTTTTTACGCGTTTTTTACAAACCTGGTTTGTAAAGAACAAAAGGAGGTTTGGCGAAACAAAAGGAGGTTTGTCGACAAACCTCCTTTGTGAATTCGGGCCAAAATGACTACAAATTCGGAATTAATTTGGAATCACCTGTTGAATGTAACTGCTTGATCGATCACACCACCAAACCGACCCCAATGACCGATATATGTGTTTGTCCGCTCGGATCCGCGTTGCAATTTTCTCTTCCGTCTATTTTTGGTGTCGGATATCCGTGACGCTAAAACTATTTTTGTATTCACACCAAAGAGACAAACACCAAACATACAATACCACAAACAAACATTTTCATAACCCCGAACGGCCAATATTCTGTCGGTTATCGTTCGGTTTATAGTCGGCTCGAGTATTAACTCGTTATCCGCTTCAGTCGACCTACAGGTGGAGTAAACAATATTAGGGACTTTTAGATTTACACGACGAGAGCGTGGACTGCCGCGTGTGACATGGTGTTAAGGCACTGGGCCGTGCCCGGCAGTGCCTTAAACGGATTTCCCATTACCTTAAAAGGATGTCACACGTGGCGGTCCACGTTCTCGTCGTGTAAATCTAAAAGTCCCTACTGATTGCCATAATAGACTGTTGTCACATAATCAGCGTATATGTATCATGTAGTAGTTACACTCCCAAACTTCTACATTCTCGGATTTAGATCCATAGCGAATCAAGAGTTATAGAAGTGTCCAAACCTTGTTCGGTTATCTTGAACAAATCTCGGCACCCTTCCCATTCGGCGTGAGCCAGTAGACACTTATAGATGGCTCGGCAATCTTCGGGTGTCGACGGCCGAAGTACGATTCCCTTAGCTTCATCTGGAGCTAGCACTGGTTCCACTGGATAGGATGTAAAAATAAGAATAAGTAGGCAAATAAAGGGCAATTCAAAATAATGATGATCCGGATACATGATAACTTGATGTACACTGTGAACAACTCCCTGTGAGAGCGGACAATAGTAGGCCTGTCACCATCAGCTCGAGATTGCCAAATAGCCTGCTATTTTTGATTTGGGAAATAATCCCGAAGTTACAAATCGCGTCTTCATCAGCTCGACACTCGACCTTGAAACTAATTGAAACTCGAGCTCAAGAAATTAGCTCGAGATATTTTGTTCAGCGTTCGCGCATAGTGCGAGTCTTCGGGCTGGTAAAGACGCACCGGAAAATAGCGGGATATTGTGCAAACTAGCCCAAGGTATCTTGGGATGATTATCTCGACCAAATATCCCGCTCTATGCAACTTCAGGCTGATGAAGACGCAAATTAACTGGATAATTTGCGATCGGGATAGTTAAAATAGCGGGATATTTGGCAAACTCGAGCTAATGAGGACAGGCCTACTTGAGTCAGTTGCACACGAGGCGTCATATCCTTGACGTATACCAGCGTCAATAAATGGCGCGATCTTTGATCAAGTTCAAGTCAAAGTTAACTTTCTTCAATACTTTAATTACAATATACAAAGGAAAACAAACATATAAAAGTCAAAAAATATAATACATATACATGTATCGATACATTACGTGGGAATAACACAAGTGGAGAAGACATGAAGAACAAGGGGAAACGTTTAAAACATGTACATTAAAGAAAGTATTTGCAGACTAGACAGGAAGGCCGGGCATTACGTAAAAGTCTTATTCCAGTAATTGTATATGAAACTAAATACATGATTAAATTATTTATTTTTTAATAAAAGGAAGAGGAAAAAAAGGAATAATTTGCATTTACACATTACACTCTCTCCTATACACACCAACACACGCGGCTTGTATAAGAGCGTGAGGACGTAAACACTTCGAATGCAAGATGAAAAGTAAGAACATGGCGTTGAATTACTGATGCATGCACCATTGAAAATTAGCGCAGGTGATAGCGCAATGGGAATTAGGCCTTGTAGGCTTCATACAGCCTTTTCACACACGAGTAAAATTCTTAAAAGCTGATTAGTTTAAAAAGCTTTTAACTAATCAGCTTACATACGACATCATTCACACACAGAAATTTCGGTGCGATCGTTCATTGTTTCGTGATTAACTACTGCTCTCTTAATGCGCAGTAGTGCCATTGCGCATTGAAGGTCTGGGGGCGTTTCATGAAACAATTAGTCGGTGGTTTTCACCGACTAATATCATGTTCACCGACAATTCTTTTGTCACCGACTATTTTCCAGGCCTGTGATTGGTCACATTTAGTCAGCGCTGACTAAATTGTCGGTGAGCATGATATTAGTCGGTGAAAACCACCGACTACTTGTTTCATGAAACGCCCCCAGGTCATATCAAACAAAGCGCACGCTCCATCCAGTTTAAACACGTATAACCGTTCACACACAAAATGCCAAGCTCTTTAGATACGGACTTCGTATCTACAGCCTGCTTTGAACGGCGTATGAATCGCGACTTCGTATCTATCCGAACATCGTATAAACGACGTTCACACAGGGAAATTTTCTTTAAAGATGTTTAAAACTGTTGAGTTAAACAGCTTTAAACTAATCAGCTCTAGATACGATGAATTTTAGCTGTGTGTGAAAAGGCTGATACAACACGCCCTTGAAACAGGGTTGACATGGTACTCAGCTCTTACTAAACAGAATGCACCATGCGCTTCGGAATCTGGCGGATAACAGCGCCGTAAATAAATATCAAAATAATTTGTTCATCTTTATTGTTCTCTGATAATATCAATTTTTTCCTCACTGTTTCCATAGCAACAGTCATTTTTAAACGTGACCGACATTTCATGATAACTCGCATTTGGGTTGTAATCAAGGAAGAAGCTATAAATACATTATACACTGTTGGTCATAATGGTGGAATAATTTTTATTACCCCGATTTATGGAAAGATTTTAACAATGATTTATACCTACTAAATCTAGATAATAGTATACATTCTCAGATTTTATTAAATAATAATTTGTGAGTGTTTGTTTTACGTGACTGTTATTAGTGGTGGCTGTTAGGGCTAAATAGGGGTTGTTTAGTGCAGATTCTTTTTAAAATTTCCAGATTTGGACCAGAGGTAGATTATACCATACTTTTACGATTTCTGCCGGACGCCAAGAAGGCGCCCTCTGGGTATGCCATATTGGGCAAATCCAAAATGGCCGCCATCTGAGTAAAAGGTCAAGCGTAGTTCCAAAAGGAAAAGCGCTTGTATGATAATAGTTTATATATTTATGGGGTTTTGGGGGTCAGAGAATCTGATTAAGATGTACTTTTATCGAGTTGAGGTCTCCTTGGGGTTGCCATACTGGTTATATTGGTCAAATCCAAAATGGCCGCCATCTGATAGTTACAGGTCAAGTGTAGTTACGAAAGGAAATGGGCTAGTATGATAAAAGTTTATGGTTTTCGGGGTCACAGAAACTAATCATGATGTTCTTTCATCGATTTGAGATCGCCTCGGGTCATACTGGTAATATTGGTCAAATCCAAAATAGCCGCCATCTGAGTTACAGGTCAAGTGTAGTTGCGAAAGGAAATGGGCCAGTATGATAAAAGTTTATATATTTATGGAGTTTTCGGGGTCAGAGAAACTGATCATGATGTTCTTTCATCGATTTGAGGTCTACTTGGGGCTGTCATGCTGGTCATATTGGTCAAATCCAAAATTGCTGCCACCTTTGAGTAAAAGGTCAATTGTAGTTCCGAAAGGAAAAGGGCTAGTATGATAAAAAGTTTATATAGTAAGAGGGTTTTCGGGGTCAGAGAATCTGATTATGATGTGCTTGTATCAATTACAGGTCTCCTTGGGGCTGTCATGCTGGCCATATTGGCCAAATAAAAAATGGCCGCCATCCGAGTTAAAGGTCAAGCGTAGTTCCAAAAGGAAAAAGACCAGTATGATAAAAGTTGATAAATTCACGGGGTTTCCGGGGTCGGATAATCTGATTATGATGTTCTCTTTAATATCAATTTTATGTTCACAATCCTGTCCTAAGGCTACAATGAAGTCAATTTCCTGGTTGAAGAAGATGAAGGAAGATGCGCCAAATTCACACTTGAGTGGGTATAAATCTTGGCCTGCACCCAAATGTTTCATCGTTAAAGGGATAGTTGAGTTCTGTTGCAGAGGGCGCTACACAAAATAATTTTTTGTGAGATAATGAAAAACTGAGTGTCAAATTTGAAAGAACATAATATTTAAATGACAAAATCATCTTTGTTTGATCAAAATTGGTTCAGAGACGGCTGAAATATAACGATTTTTAATACTTGTGTACCATATTTTGAAAAATTTGAAAAAACCGTTGAAAAAACGAAATAGCGCTTTTTACTTCATATTTCAGCCAATGCCGATGTTGGCTTTTTTGTTGGCATTTTCGTGCTGCTGATATTACGCACAACCAGCCGGCCCATGTATTGTTATTTTCAATTAAATAATTAATTAACGGTCACCGTGTTTTTCTGAAAGTGGAGCTGAAGTGGTATGATCGTATTGGCTAAATTTCACACATTTTGGGGTCTAATATTACCTTCATAGCAATTTAGGTTCTAAAAGGGCACTATAAATGTCATAGATAAGAATAAGAGCAATAACCATAAACTTTGAAGGCATTTCCGGTCTGAAAACAGAACTCAACTATCCCTTTAACTTTCCTCTATGAAATTCATAATAAATTCGTGTTCGAGGGTTGGTAAGGAAAATAGATAAACAGTAGAAACAGACCATGACTAAAGAAATATGCCCCCATTGTGGAATCCTTGCTTCTGATTGGTTATCAGCAGATTTGTCACTGACTTTTGTCATTTGTCATTGAAAAAAGGCTTTGTGAAACACCCCCCCCCCCCCCCACCCGCTGGCCAACTAAGATATTTCATTTGATTTGTTACGTTTTCAACCTCTCTTAATCCTGGAGCTAAGGATCTTAACTATTCTGCATTTGGGGCGAAAATATATCACTATGAATATGACTGACAAAGAAAGCGGACAAAATATACAGTTCCTCAGGTAGACAAAGGAACATCCCTTCACTGCTATTATGTAAAATGTGTAGAACAGGTGTCACATGCATATTCACCTTTTTACATAATAGCAATGAAGGGATGTTCCTTTGTCTACCTGAGGAACTGTATATTTTGTCTGCTTTCTTTGTCCACCAAGTTCATAGTGTATATTTGCAATGTTTTATAACTGAAACAATAAAAATTGAAATACAAAAGAAAAGTAAAGAAAAGGATAATGACCCGAAAAATGTGTAATACCACCACAACGCTGGGAATTATGTTGCAATGGAATTATTATCCTCAATGAAAGGTTCCGTTTGTCAGGAGTCCATCCTGAACATAGGAAGCCACAACCTTCCGGTTCCGCGTATTCAATGCAGACTATGGTTTGATAAGATTTCACAACCATCCTAGAAAATCATCTGGACTTTCCCTGTTCATGTGTATTATTTGATTTGATTTGGTTTGATTTATTGGTTTCTGAATCTTTTTTCATTTTTTTTTCATCATACATTTTCATGAACATAATATGGTTTGATACAATATTTAAAGTGTATGAAATTTTATACAGATAATAAACGAAATTAAACTGGCTACAGAAATAAGCAAAGTAGCTTGACGTGCCCGCAGCCCTCGACTTAGATACAACAATAGAAAGAAAAAAAAGAGTGACTTGCAGAGAAGAAAAGGAAACGGGAGAGAAGGAGCGTTGGTAATAATACAATTAATCTCATGCATCTGCTGATTGAATGCAGGTCCATTCATGAATGGAAAAACGATGCTAGGTCATGGACGATTACACATCATTGCTGAATATCAATTGTAACTGTATTCTATGTTTGAATATGCATTGAGTGTTTTTAATTGTACATGATTATGACTAATTCAGCCATTGGGCTGCGACACCTGTTTTTAATAAACCTTGAATTGAATTGAATTGAATTGAATTAAATTGTCAATGTACACACGAACATGAATACAGTAGAATTACACACGACAGGATCAATACTTAGACAATAACATAGTTAACTGCTTAAGGTTTCTTATTACAATGGGCATAGAGTTCCAGATGTCTGGGCCGGCGTGTCTAATGGATTTGAGAGCCAATGCTTGTGATAATGCGAAAGCTACTGATAATAACATCCGATTTGTATTTTAAATCCCGTGACTATCAATGCCCCATCTTTTCTTCTATTCAAGATCAAGTTCAAGTTTTCATTTTCCATTTTCAACAAGAAATATACAAATTACGTACAATAAATAAATTATGAAAAAAAATTAACAAAGTATACACGAGTAATTAGTGTAGATGTTATTTTTCTTTGTACAACAAAAGACATTGTTTGTATAATTCGTAATTTAGTTACAAGGAATTAACTATAATCATATCATGCAAATATTCTAAATCAAGAAGAAAAACATATTTATATGTCTAGTGAAAACGTAGAGTGTGCACCCCTCAACAAATAATGTTATAAAAAATTAACACAAAAATAACAACATTTAAAAATACAAGTGTTGTGTCTAATGAGACTACTTAGGAAAACATATAAGACGCAGTTTGGAAGCACATGGATAAAAGAGCATTATGAGAGAGGCTGAGTGTACAATTATTGTAATTAGCACCAATTGGGATTTATCTTGCGGTGACCTTTTTGTCAATATATAAAACACTAAATTAACTATTTCATAACGTTGCATTAAAAATAATTTAAGTTTTCTTCAAAAAAAAGAGAAGAATTGGGTGGAAGTGAATGCCTATATCAAGAGTGATCCAAAATTTGGGACCACCATAAATAAACGTGTTCTGAGCTAATAGGATCACACGAAATTCATTCGACTGTCTACACTATGAACATGACTGACAATGAGAGCGGACAAAATATACAGTTCCTCAGGTAGACAAAGGAACATCCCTTCACTGCTATTATGTAAAAATGTGTAGAACAGGTGTCACATGCATATTCACCTTTTTACATAATAGCTGTGAAGGGATGTTCCTTTGTCTACCTGAGGAACTGTATATTTTGTCCGCTCTCATTGTCAGTCATGTTCATAGTGCTAGTTGGTTATCCCATTGTCTACTGGAACATGGTGGCCCCTGTATTGAGCCTATGGCAAATTAATGAATTCAGTAAACGAGTTAACTATGAACTGATTGATTAAAATAAAATCCAAAGCTGAAGGTAACGTATGATTTACATATTTGTACATGAATTGACTTAATTGGTACAAGTACAAGTCGTTAATTTGTGATAGTTTGTTATAGAAAATAATGAGAGTGTAGGGAGAGTTAAAGATAATACGTAGTTGATTCGGACTTGATTCTATGGTGTAACCATGTCCATGCGTGTTGCCCACGAGTCGTCGCTTCGATTGCGTTATTTCCTGCGCTAAACCAATAATGCCAAGGCAATAAGAGCATACGCCATGCAGTTAGTCAAAGCAATTTATATTGTTGATTTTGCATCTATTTTTGTACGATATTACTTGCACATTTCACGCCAGTACTAATGCCTCGTTAGCGCAACACACGGCGCATCCTCGACAATGGCGTTGAACAGGGAGCGTCATTTGAGATGCGATATTCTAGCGCAAGGTTTGGGATTAGTCGGAAAATGGACTATCGACGACGACAGTTGGTGAGTAAAGAACATTTGCGTTACACCACGGGCGCAGCCAATTATGTAAGGACCTACCGAGCTCTGCACTATTTACAGCGGCATTAATTCAATTTAAATTGATAGATCAATTATTGACGTAATTGGCTGTCGGGATAAACGCCTCTTGTGCAATGGTTTAAAGGCCTACTATACCTGTTGATTTCCTGTCTTCCGCAAACCTTGGTCTTGATCTCTTGTCTTTAATACTTAGCGTCTTTTTGATCAAAGGGCTATATTGGTACGACGAAGTGGCCAACGGTCGTCGACATGGTTCAATCATAGCTTCATTTTTTGACGTCGCCGTTATCATCCCACGGCCGTGTCGATCAAGATCTCTCTGTAGCCCGGGATGGCAGAGACGGAACACTGGAGCTATCCTGCGAACTAATCTTGAGACGTACATTTTTTGGTTTAATCTTGTTTCTTATGAAAGAGAGGTATCTTCTTTTAGTATAGATGCACTCAATGTGTTTTACACTTGATAGTTCGTTCGTGTGGTTGCCAAGTTCTGTCAAGATCAGTCGTACGAAATCGCTCGTTTCTATGCGGCCTCCAAAAATTTGGGAATCTTGCGGATGCTCCAACTTGCCACTGGTCTAATGAGTGTGATCATTTCCTTTTCAGGCGGTGAATTGCTATACACTTCCGTTTTGTAGGGCTGTAATGTAGTCTGTACTACAACTTGTGATAATTTATTATGAAAGATCGGTCGGTGGAAAACTGAGCGCTAGTTGCAAGCTCGGCTACGACCAGGGTAATGTGTGTAACGCGCCATGAGCGTCAGAGCCTGACGGGTAGCTATATGTTCTTCTAAAAGACCAATTTGGAGAGCTTTGATTGAACTAATAAGTTGTATAGCTTTATTGAGGCTCTATGTCAGCCCGGCCCCCCCCCCCACTCAGAGGTCGGAATGACCGCATGCGTGTTGCCAAAATGCCAAAGGTAAAAAGGGTGTATTTGATTTTTCACCCGGAGATTTCTTTAAAAAGGGGGTGTTTTTCTTTTTCTCTCTCATCTCTTTGGTCTCCTGAGAAATTATTCCGAATTTAGGGGGGGGGGGGTACATTGAGCATTTTCCCTGATTTAGGGGGGTCTCCAAGGCAGGAAAAGCCCGCGAAAAGCCCGCGAAAAGCCCGCGAAAGGGGGGTTCGGAAATGTTGGCAGTCCTCAGATAGGGGGTGCTTTCAAAAAGAGGGTACGAGCATATGCGTACCCTAAATAACACTGAGTGGGGGGGGGGGGGGGGGGCGGGTATGTCAGTCAGACATCTTTGTAGTCATCTCCTGTACAAGTACTCATTGTTTCATAACATGACCTAGCATGAGTCATGGGTTGCAGGTCATTCTATATTTAGTTATACATGCTAGTCTGTATTTGCAGACGCTGTTAAACTACATGTAGCTATCACTACAGTACCGGCGCTATGTAAACAAGCACATTAGCACATTATTATTATTATACAATCTTGGCATGTGCAGATAAAGGACAATTAACTGAACCGAGACGAATCACGTCCCTGCTTACATGAAACTTACTTAATAATTTTTCATTTGTGTACCGACTGTAAATTCTATGGAACACTGGGGGAAGTTTTATTCTCAAGAGGGCAAAGAATAATTCATGGTTAGCACCAGGCACGTATCCACGGGGGGGGGGGGGGGGGGGGGGGGGGGTACGTGCCCCCCCCCCAATTTTTTTTCTTTTCTAGGATCGGTTGAAATTTTCTACACCCCTCCCCAGGGCGTCGATCGATTACATGTATGTGCCCCCCCCCCCAACTTCAAACGCTGGCCACGGCCCTGGTTAGCACATGTCCCAAATGACCCGAATATCCACAGAACTTCAAAACCATATGAAAAACTTTTAGCCCTAAACGCACATAAAAGAGTACCAGCACTAAACAACCGCTTTCACGAAGAGAGACCGCTCGAGTGCACTCTTCATTAACTCAAAAGGAGTGGCGCCATGGGCTGCCCTGTCCCTTCAGATCGCACTACCCCAGGGCCGGGACTAACTGAGTTAGGCCTGCACATGGGCAACGTACTTCTGCCAGTCGGATATACAATCATGTTCCTATTTAAGCGCGTAGCCAAAGGGGCGGTGGGGCAGTCGCCCCCCCCCCAAAAAAAAAAAAAAAAAAAAAAAAATGCCGGCCAAAAAAAAAAGAGAGAAGAGAAAAAAGTTAGGAGACGTATGAAGAAAAGGAGCAGACATTTTTTAAAACAAATTCAGATAAGGATTAAGAGTCGAGAACGTTACAACGAATCGTCTTCTTTCTCTAATATTTTAGTGAAACTTCAAAGCTTCCAGGGCCCGGGGGGGGTGGACTCTTTGAGGGACTCCCCGTCCCTGTACCCACACCCTAGGGAGCGCGCTTCGCGCGCTCTGTAAGTGATTGGCACGCTTTGCGTGCTCACTATAAAATAAAATCATAGCTACGCGTTTGTTCCTATTTAGTGATCATTTCCTCTGGAGATGCCGCTGGTCCAACCGCGGCATCATCTCTTATTCTTATTATATAGCCGTCTAGGCGTCTATAAATATTATCAAAGAGTTTGTCCTTGTAGTCCGTACTGTTTCGATCTATTTATATACTTATTGTTTCTAAAATTACATTTTAGTGTATAATGCCTATGAGTCTTGCGTGAAAGTACATTGATCGGACTAGTCCAGTGCGGCAAGGCGGGGGTGCGAGCGCTGGCTCTCGGCTGACTACGTTGACTACTTACTAACACTTACAAACTAGAATTAGAAATGAAACTCACCTAGTTAGAAAAATGCAAAATTACGGTAGACTACACCAGCAGAGGCATGGCATAACACCGTAGACGAAATCGAACTCCTTCCCTCTGCCACTGATTATACTGACTTCCCTCTAGTCGGAGTGCATTGGCCCATTCGGGTACACCTGTATACACAGTAAACCAGGCCTTCTCAACTGGCGGCGCGCGCGCCACTTGTGGCGCTTGCGGTCAGTCGGAGTGGCGCGGGGCTGTTCCAAACATTAATACAAAATAAATACAAATTAAATATTGAAAATTAAAGAAAGAAAAAATTAAAAAAATATATTTTAGAATTAAAAAAACTCAGCAAAATCAAAAAGTCGTAGTCGAAGTTGAGCCCAAAATATAAGTAAGCCATTTTGTTTGTTTGATTTTCACTTGATTTTGACATTTTCCGTGTTTATTGCACCAAAATAACCACATATAAATTAACTTCCAGTGTAGATTTTAGCCCGGAATTGTACTAATTATTTCAAATCAATATGAAAATATGATTGATGTTTTATGGAACAAAAAGGTGTTAAAAATGCCACACCTGGGCCTTAAATAAGCCCTAAAATCCACTAGCTTCCGGGGGCTTCACCCCATGAACCCCACCCAGTATCGGCTCGGTCGCTACGCTCCCTCGCAACACAGTCACCAAACAAACAGGTTGGCACTTAATCCTCAATACATTTTGGTTTGGCACTTCTAATAAACTAGTTGAGAAGGCCTGCAGTAGACCAATGCAGGCCAGTAAGATGAATAAAAAAAATCTTCAGATAAATCACGTTAAATTGTTAATTATCTTTATGTTCTCACTAGCAAACTTCACAATAATCAGGGAGGTGAAACTTTAGTCACACCTCCCTGCAATAATCATCCAACGGTATGGGTTATCATAAATATTGGTCTGGTTCATAAAGTTATGAGCCAGAGCAATATCAGACACTGAGCTCCTATAGGAAATCTTTTCATTCAGATGGTCATATCTCAGCCAATACTCAACCTTTTTGACTGGTTTTCGACGTTTGGACATTATTTGCTATGCTCTTTTAGAAAATGAAGAAAAAAAAATTGAGAAATTCTAAAAATAGATTTTTTGATGACGTCACATTTCACCAATCGATCTGTAGCCTTTGTATCTCCTTTTCAAAGAATACTTCCATCTATGTATCATGGAGTGCACTGCTCGTGCATAAATGAATAATGATTACATAACTTTCATGAGAACGTATCCAGTATTTTTTCTCCGTGTATTTAACAATTTGGTCTGCAATGAACTTTATCTGGTCATGCTCAGACTGCAACCATGAATTACTGGCTAATTATTAGAGATAGCTTTAAAGCTTATCTGCCGTAGTTTACAGGAGGGATTAGACTGCCCTGCAAGGTCACTGGACAAGTGGTTACCTCATTAACTCAGCTCTCAGTTAACATAAGAAAAAGTGGATCATGGGGGACCAATGGTCACCGATTAGGCATTGTTTGTTATGTAGAGGGCGCAAGTAGCTACAAGTAGTGCAGTGGGCCTTTAAATTTCGAGTTCTCAGAGAGCTGTTCGTCTGACAGGCACTACAGTAGCATATAAAGGCTCCTCCATGACATTGGCAGTGATTATTCTAAAATGCGGATTTTCGAGGTCATAATTTGTACCATGTGCGAATTACAAACTATGAAAGTTTTAGAGTTTTTATTAACCTTTTCATATACCACATTAGCCGAATGTCACAGTGTCTGGTGTGCCAATATTGCCGATTGGAACAAAGAATAATACCAATTAACAATAGCGATATAATTTGTTAATAAAATCCTATAGCAGTTGAATAACACTTTGTTAAAGGTACTATGTCCCATTTGCAGGCCAAAAAATGAAAAGGTTAATTTCCAACGGCATTTGAAAGATAATACTAATTTAGAACTCCCCTTAAAAAACGGGGTCTTGAAAATGTCTTTGAGTTGGAAAATAACGACTAATAGCTGTCAAATCGACCATGGAGCTATAGAGCCAATAAGTAATAGTCTTGATTTTCAGACCATTGTACCGCATGGTTGTACGTTTTATGCTGCGCAAAGATTTAATCACTTTAATTTTGGTCATTACAAGAAGTGGGTTATTGATGTAGACAAATGCTCATGTACCCTTTACAGCTCATTTTATGTATGTTATTACCAAAGAAGGAGAAAAGCCAGTCAGTCACTCAATAGTGTCTGACAGTGAAGTCTAGCAAGTAAACGGGTTTCATTGCATAATTTGAATATTCGGACACTGCTAATGTTTAAATTTCACAGATAGGACATACATGACATATTCATAATTCCTGCAAAGTTCTACAGCATTTGAGGTTGGCTGCAAAACGGACATATAAACCGAAGAGAAAGATATCGGTCACAGCTTACCTGCATATCCGCCTGTGTAATTCAGTTTCGTTCTCAACTTAAAGTGAAAGTTCGAACAGTAAGGCCCGCATTCACAAAGGAGGTTTGTCGACAAACCTAGGTTTATGTGCGTCATATGACGCGTTTCGACGCATTTAAAACCAAGGTTTGTACAAACTTGGTTTGTGAATTCAGGCCTAAATGTTCGGCTTTGTTCGTCTTGTTTCCAATCGCGACCGCCGATCGTCGGACCTGCAACATTCCACCTCAGAAAAGATAGAAGTGGTTCCAAATTCCTTGACACTCTCAAAATTCTGCATTTACCCCAAATTAAGCCAATCAGAAATACACTGTCCCGGGTGGTCCAGATTGGCATGCCTTGCCTTTTTGGTTAAATACCCTGTCGAAAGTGAAAAATTATATAGATGAATTATATATCAAAGGAAAGCTTACAATCCACAGATTACAATAATACCAATTATATGCTACTAGTTCCTGTCAGACGAGTACTAACAGGTCTCTGAGAACTCGAAATGTAAAGCTTTGAAAATCGGAAGTTGTTGACCTAATAACTAGATATCGAATTGATGACATC